GAAACGCATCATCAGTAATAACGATATTTTTTTTATAGTGAATGAGAGTGTCCGCCTTTTGGTATTATGAAAATTACGATAGATTGAGTGAGAGACCAGAGTGGCCAAGTTAAACTTGGAAGCAAAGCTTGGATTGGACGGGGGATTGCAAGTTGTTAAAGTGTGAGCAATAACGAGAAGTTGTGAGTTTATAATACCAATCTCATAATTTTGAATATCGAATAACATCTCAAAATATCAAAATCAATCCCAATCCCTAAAAATAACTTAGTATCCAGTAATATCAAATAGTGATAAATTTGGTACGATATTCGGTATATCTTAAATATATATCGATACCAAACTGTCAGCATGTAGGGAACAGTGGAGGACAAATAACAACAAATCGCTTACGTTTGCGCTTACATGACATTATTGTTTAAGTCAAGTCTCTTCGGTCGGTTTGCTCAGGTGGTCATAAATAGAAAGAAGAAAAAATGATCGTAGAAAAAATGAATTGTCTACCTCTCCTAGTTTGACGTCGGAGAAGTTGGGAAGAGGCGACGACATATCTTCTCTAACTTGTCCTACTCTCTATCTTTGGAGAACTTGGATCAATACGAGTAAATGACTGAACTTTTTGTGGCAAACACATTAAGTTATTTTTTAATTTTCTTTGTTTTAATTATTAATAAATAATTAGATTGATCTGGAGGAAGGATGTTAAGTTGCAAGTTCTGGGATTCTCTGAGCAGTTTGTCCATGTTATGGTGGGAGATACAGTGCCTTTCTTTGCTACCTTTATTTACGCCTCTAACCTAGAAGGTGGAAGACGTGAGATGTATAGGGAGATTGCTGGGTAAAGGTGCATCATAAGCCATGAATATTAATGGGGGATTACAATGCAATTAGGGATCCAAGTGAGGGGTAGAACAACCCAGCACAATCTGCCAGTATGGCTGATTTTAATGAATGGCTCACAGAAATGGAAGTTGAGAAGCACAAGTCCACTGGTCCATGGTTTACGTGGCTAAATAGACAAGCTAACAATCCAATTGCTAGGCGTTTGGATAGGGCGTTTTTCAATTTGGCCTGGTTGGATAAGGAGAGTATAGTTCATATACAAAATCCTGGGGTTTCGGATCACTGCCCAGTTCTGGTTCAAACAGAGGTATCAAGGTCTCCTATGGGCAGAGTTTATAAGAAGTTACGCATACTAAAAGGTTTGCTCAAAGCTCTTAATAGAGAGGAATACTCAGATATAAGACAGAGAGTTAAAGATAAGGAGTGTGAGCTGGAGGAAGTCCAGGAACTAACTTTAGCTGACCCTTCTCCTAACTTGGCTGGGTTGGAAGTGAAACTAGCTCGGGAATTGCACACATTAATGAAGGCTGAGGAATCTTTCTTGAGACAGAAGTCGAGAGAAATTTGGCTGAAGGGAGGTGATTCAAACACTAATTACTTTCATAGATCTGTGAGAACGAGGCAGAAGAGGAACACTATCACAAGTCTTCTATTTGATAATGGTGATAGGGTAACTAGGGTGGAGGATATGTGTGAGGTGGCAGTGAGCTTTTATAAGAAATTACTGGGACAGAAACTGAGGTTAAAGAAGCTATATTTGGAATGAAGGGGGATAAAAGTCCAGGGCCAGATGGTTATAATGCTCGATTCTTTCAGTATGCGTGGGAGACTGTTGGTGCTGATATAGTGGAAGCAGTACAATATTGTTTTGCTACAAAGAAGATACCTAAGGAGGTAAATGCCACTATTCTTGTTTTAATACCAAAGATTCCAAATCCTGAGGAAATGAAAAACTTTAGGCCTATATCATGCTGCAATACACTCTATAAATGCTTGTCGAAAATAATTGCAAAGAGGTTCAGTGCTCTGCTTCCTTTACTGATTAGCAAGAATCAGACTGCATTTGTTAGAGGCAGGTTAATTAGTGAAAATGTATTATTAGGTCATGAGCTGTTCTCAAAATATGCAAAGAAGAATGTTTCATATATATCAGCGCTTAAAATTGATCTTATGAAAGCGTTTGAGTGTTTGACTCTGTCAACTGGCTTTTTCTGTTTAATGTGCTTGAAGCAATGGGGATCCCAGCTGAGTTCATTGACTGGATTAAAATGTGTGTGACTGAGCCTATGTTGAGTATATCTTTCAATGGAGGGTTGGTAGGTTATTTTCCTTCTAAGCAAGGGTTGAGACAAGGAAATCCTATGTCTCCATATTTGTTTGTGGTTGCCATGGAAATTTTTACTTGTCTTCTAGATAGAGCAGCAGAAAGGGGATACTTTCCTTATCATCCAATGACTAACTCATTTGTGTTTCGCGGATGACCTCCTAGTGTTCTCGGATGGCTCCAACTGTGGCTTACAGAGTGTGTAGAATGCGTTAGCTGATTTTATCGTTTATCTGGTCTGAAGTCTAATCCAAGCAAATGTGAGGTATAATTTGGTGGAATGGAAAAGGATGAGATGGTTGTTAGAGCCAATAGATTTGGATATCAGCTGGGAAATTTCCCTTTTCGTTACTTAGGAGTACCACTGATTGCAGGCAAGTTGACAGTGGCGGCCTGTAAACCACTAATTGGAAAGCTTACTGCTCGAATAACAGGGTGGAAAGCAAAGTCTCTTACGTATGCAGGGAAGGTTGAATTGGTGAGCTCTGTGTTGTATAACATTACTCAGTACTGAATGAGTGTCTTTTCTCTTCCTAAGCAGGTTCTTAGGGAGATTGAGAGAATTTGCAGTAACTTTTTGTGGGCCGTGGGTGAAGGACAGAGGCTTAAAGCAAAGATAGCATGGAAATATTTAACTTACCCTATGAAGGAGGGTGGTCTAGGTTTGAGGGATATGTTTGCATGGAACAATGCCTGTATCTGTCGCCAAATCTGGGCAATCATGTTGCAGCAAGGATCACTCTGGGTGGCCTGGATTTTGAATTACAAGCTGAAGGGGAGGAGTTTCTGGGATACTAATATAGATGGTTCTTGGAACTGGAAGAGGCTGCTAAAGCTGCGAGGTAAACTTCCTCACCTTTTCAGCTTGATTGATGGCAAAGTCTATTGGAATGATTCTATTATGCCAAGGTATTCTGTAAAAGTGGTTTGGGAGTCATTAAGGCCTAAGCTAAGTTCAGTTTCATGGGCTGGTTTGGTCTGGTTGCCTCCTTCTATCCCTAGAAATCGTTTCCTGGTCTGGCTTATTATCAAGGATAGGATCCAGACTAAGGAGAAAATGAAGAAGTTGGGTTATGCAGGCTCAGATTTATGTTGTCATTGTAATAAGATGCCTGAAAGTAGAGATCACTTATTCTCTCAATGTGAGTTTTTCAGAAAGCTTTTCCATGATTTGTTTGGGGGGGGGGGGGGGGGGGGGTTCTGGATTCATGCCAAGGGACTGGGAAGAAGGATTACAATGGGCCACAAGAGAGTTTGGGAAGAAAGAGATGGATGCAGGCCATGAGAGGATCATATGGCATTCCATGATTAGCCATGTATGGCGAGAACGTTCCATTAGAATGTATGAAGGGAAGAGTCGTAGTATTGAGGGTTTGATAAAGGTAATCCGAAGTGAAATTCTAGTTTTGCTGCAGGAGGAAGAAGCTGCAAAATTCTGGATCTCGGGCGCTGATTCTTTTCGATGATTGGATAGCTTTATTGGAGGTGAAATAGATAGTCTAGTGTTTTTATCTGTGGGTTTGTTTTGCTACTACCGAGATGGAAGGGCTAACCTAGTTGGAAAGGTTGTTTTTAGCACCTCTTTTCTTTTGATGAATGGAAAGTCTAATTCATAAAGAAAATTGAAATTAATAATATACAAAAAAAAGTCAAACAATTGACTTTTGCCACATCATCAAGATGTGTCCCACTCAGTAATTAAATTGGCACATTACAATCAACGAATACTCAAACGAATGAAAAGTTAACATTTTAACTATCATTTTGTTTTTCGAAAAGTTTGTCTATTATACTGTATTTACCCTAGATTTAGTCGTGGTTTTGTCTGTTTTCTCTGGTCAGAACATCCATAAAGCACAACCATATGAAATCTATACTAAATATGGCCTTAGCTGTGACTTTGGAGTTCTTGTTTGGAGAAGGATACAACAAATCTGCGGGACCTTGGATCCTCCGAGGGGGGATGTTTTGGCGACTATTGAGAGATGGGCGAGAAGAGATCCTGAGGACATTTCTGAGTGGGTTATGTTTTGCCTACTACATTCTGTTTGGTGGCAATTGTGGTTGGAAAGGAACAGACGCATATTCCGCGACACTAAGAGCAGCCCTGAAGTGGTGGCTCGTTGCGCTGTCAGGTCAGTTATGGAATGGATGGTTGCGAGGAACAAAGTCAGGAAAGATGAAGGTTATCAGTGGCTGGCCGAGAAGTTGGAGATGCTAAGGAGAGGGGGTGGGCAGAGTATCAATAGGCCTTTTTGATTCTTGATGTCTTTGTGATTGCAGAGTGTGTTTCTGAGCAGATTTGGATTTGAGCAAATTTGGTTCTGAGCAGATTTAGTTTTTCGTTTTGCGATCTGTGTTTCTGAGCAGATTTGGTTTTGGGCTTTCAGGTTTGTAGCAGCAGTGGTCTGGTCCACTGAGTTGCGGTCTCTTATGTTTTTTTTCTGGATTGTGTCCATTGGTTTCCGGTTCGGTTCGGTTCGTTGTTTCTGTTGGGGGGTGGTTCATGGCTTGTGAACCCCAGCTTTGTTCTGAACCTTTTCTGGACTTTGTTTCTGATTTATGCAATTTTCACCTTTATCCAAAAAATATGGCCTTAGCCGTCAAAGAAGAACACCCATTTACTAAACAAAAACGTGGTGACACAGGGAAGTTTGGACTTAGTGGTTCAATTCATACAACTGAGATGCCTGTATACTAAAATTTACAGGCATCTCTGTCCTTGTACGATGAACACAACGACCTTGTCAATCAAACTTGAATAGCACGAATAAGTTGACTACAGTCCCAACCATATCATCTCGCTTCTGAGCTTGAAAATTTATTGTCAGTTATACTAAAAGCGCCGCCGTCACTTGAGCTTCAAATTGAAGCAGCAAGCGCCGTATTCGGTAAAACAGAGGACAGAGCCAAACAAATTTGTAAGAGAACTATGGAACTCTCCATCTCTTCCCTTTTCATAACTCTCCTCGTAATATGCGCCATTACGGTACTGGTAAAGTCCTGTATCCCAAACCCATACGGGCAAAAATTCAATCCGCCGCCGAGCCCGCCGGGGCTTCCACTCCTGGGCCACCTCCACCTAATCCGGCAGCCAATTCACCGCTCCCTGCAATCCATCTCCGTCAAATACGGCAAAATCCTCTCCCTCCGCTTCGGCTCCCGTCGCGTCCTCCTGCTCTCCACCCATTCCGCCGTCCAACAATGCTACACCGACCACGACCTAGCCTTCGCCAGCCGCCCGACCCTGCTCGCCGGCAAGTACTTCAACTACGACTTCACCACCGTGATCGTCGCCCCCTACGGCGACCTCTGGCGCAACCTCAGGCGGATCCTCAACAACGAGCTCTTCTCCTCCGCGAGACTGTCCAAATTCGCCGCCGTCAGGGAAGCCGAAATTCGCGCCTCGGTGGAGCGAATCGCGAGGTGTGGTAATAAAGGGGGAAAGGTAATGGTCGAGCTGAAATCGCGAATTCACGAGGCGACTTTCAACGTCATGACGATGGTCACGGTGGGGAAGCGGTACTACGGCGGCGGCGTTGGGAATTGTGAGGCGGAGAAGTTCCGGGAAGCGATGAGGGATGTGATCGACGTGTCCGGTTGGTCGAATACGGGCGATTTTCTGCCGATTCTTCAGCGGGTGGATTTGTTCGGGACGGGGAGGCGGATGGCTGGTCTGATGAAGAAGATGGACAAGTTTTTGCAGGAACTCGTCGACGAGAGTCGGGAGAAGCTAGGGGAAGGGAAGGAGACGGCGGCGATCATTGACGATTTGTTGAGTTTGCAGCGGGAGGAGCCGGAGTTTATGACAGACAAGATAATCAAGGGGATTATTCTGGTAAGAAATTTTCGGTTGGGGAGGCCAGAACGGATCATAAATAAAAATTAAGTGTATTTAAGTTTTTATTAATATTTTTGTGTTTGCTCAAGCTTTTCACAACTTTATCATTCTTGTCAATCTTTTCAATATATAACATCGTCACCTAAATTAAATCCAAACTTTATTTAGTTGACAAAACATTCGAATTGACCGTTATGTTGGACGGTCAAAAATATTGACTAACAGTTAACCCGCGATGTTACTACTCGGTCATCATCACAACATAAATTAAAAGTTTATGTGTTGGAAATTGGAATGACCAAAATTGACAACCCATTTTGATCGCAGGTAATTCTAACAGCGGGCACAAACACTACCGCAACAACAATAGAGTGGGCAATGGCCTTACTACTCAACCACCCCGAAGTGATGACCAAACTACGAGCAGACATCGATGCTAAAGTCGGACAAGAAAGGCTCGTCAACGAGCAAGATCTATCAAATCTCGACTACCTGAATCATGTGATCGACGAAACCCTTCGTATCTATCCACCCGCGCCACTTCTAGGCCCGCGCGAAGCATCCGAGAATTGTAGCGTGGGTGGGTACGACATCAGCAAAGGAACGATTCTGATAGCGAACGTGTGGGCAATACACAGGGATCCGGAAGTGTGGGAGAACCCGACGAAGTTTGTTCCGGAGAGATTTGAAGAAGGTTTGAGGAATGTTTGGGAAGAAGAAGGGTGTAAATTTGTTCCGTTCGGTGGAGGGAGGCGAGGATGTCCAGGCGCGACGGTGGCGAGTCGGGTGATTGGGTTGGTTTTAGGATGTTTGGTTCAAGGTTTTGAGTGGGAGAGGATTGGTGAAGAAGCTGTTGATATGACTGAGGCGATAGGTCTTACTATGCCTAGAGTTAAGCCACTGGAAGTAATGTGTAAGCCACGTCACCCTGCGTTGAGGTTTTTGGCTGGCGCTGTGGATTTGTGAGTGAGAGTGGTGCTGGTGTGTTTTTTTAGGTGTGTCTTTCTAAGAGACAATTAATTAATAATAAAAGCCTACCATGTGAGTTACTATTTATTAGTGGCTCTCACACTTCTCAAAGTGCAAGTGGAGAAGTTCCAATTCCAATCTCTTCTTTTACCCCACCCTCCATTCTACAGCCTTTGTGTTTAGTTATTGTTCGCTAGGTTTTCGTCTATTGTTTTTTTTTTTGCATAAATCATCGCCTTTGTGTTTTGTTATTGTTCGCTAGGTTTTCATCTATAACTTTTTGCACAATTCATCGCCTTTGGGTTTAGTTATTGTTCGATAGGTTTTCGTTCCGAAAAAGGATTCAAAGTTGTTAATGAAGTTGAAGTTACCAAATTTTGAGGGGTCTTCGGGAGACACCCCACGAGGAGGAATGAGATGTGATTTATTGCCAATGGGAACATTTGTAATGCCTACAATAGCTTCAAAAGAATAAGGGTCAGATATGGTATAGCGTGGACTCCCGTTAACGTTTTGATACGCCTCTATGAGAATAATAGGCTTCCCAAATTTAGCAAGATATACCGCCCTACCATCAGGCAAAACCTTGTAGTTCTCTCTCTCCAAAAAGGCTTTTTTTTTTAACGCCGCACAAAGAAAAGATTTTGTTGCGAATGAACAAGATATCTATGATTTTTTGCACAAATCATCGCCTTTGTGTTTAGTTATAGTTCAATAGGTTTTCGTCTATGCCTTTTTGCACAAATCATCGCCTTTGCCCACCATTTTGCATCTCATCTCGAAATACTGTCGGCAGAATCCTAAGTTGTTCCCCACCACCATTTTCCAAGACCGCTACCACGAGTTTTGTATCGGGACCAAGTTTCATCCTCTTTAGTGTTTTTTTCTTTCTTTCTTTCTTTCCTTTTTGTTGAGCATGATCACAATTGAACCCAAACACATGGGTATCCTAACTTGAACACAAATCATCGTCTTTGCCCACCATTCTGCAGCCCATCTCGAAATACTGTCGGCGGAATCCTAAGTTGTCACCCACCGTCATTTCCCAAGGCCGCTACCACGAGTTTTGTATTGGGACCGAGCTTCATCCTCTTTAGTATTTTTTCTTTTTCTTTTTCCTTTTTGTTGAGTATGATGATGATCACAATTGAATCCAATGGCGCTACCGAAAATCCATACCATATCTACTCAATGTTTGCGAGTTTTGTATCAGGACCGAGTTTCGTTCGCTTTAGTGATTTTTCTTTCACTTTTTCCTTTTTGTTGGGGTCATGAGCGAGTTTTATCTGCTTTACTATTTTTTTATCCTTTTCCTTTTGGCTGAGAATGACAATTGAGTCCAAACGCATGGGTATACAACCTAATTCCACCCGACCAAAGCGATTTGAACCCGATTTTACAGGTTTTCGGCGAGAGCGAGTTTTATTTGTTTTTGTAATTGGCGTGTTGTGTCAGGTGTGAATTTGTCCAAAACTCGGTCCAACCAGGTCAAAGTAAGTTGAATCTAGTGTTGACGAGTTTTGAGTCGGTAATGAGTTTTAGCGTTAGTGTTTTTCATTTTGCTTATTCCTTTTATTTGAGAAAGACAATTGAACCCAAAAATGGGATTTTTCTAATAAAACCACCTATTAAAAAAATTTACAAAAATAGCATCCAACCCACAAAATTTACAAAACTAGCACCATTTTTATCAAACCGCACATCCAAGGTGCGTTTTATATTTAAACCGCACCCTCTAGGTGCATTTTATGTATAACCGCACCTTGGAGGTGCGTTTTGCGCCACGTCAGACTGGGAACCGCACCAGGAAGGTGCGGTCTGTGTTTCCTCGGGAGCGGGCTTGGAAACCGCAGGATCCAGCGGCGATCCAGCGTCGGACTGCTTGCCACCTCAGAGATCCGCGCCATGGATCTCAGACCGCTGCTGCAGGGTGCGGTCAGCGCCTCAGGAAAAGCAGACCGAGGGAGCGATTTCAAGGTGTCCAAAATTACCAGACCGCCCCTGAAGGGTGCGGTCTGAATACTATAAATACCCCTCCCCCCTCTCATTTCTTTACACCACAACCCATTCTTCACTCTCTCTCTAAAATTATCTCTCTAACCCCTCCCCTCCCAAAAGTCTAGGAAATAGTGGTCTGTTGGTTGCGGCTAAGTCCGATCTGCCATCAGAAAACTTTTCTTTGGTTTTTCACTAAGAACCCGTCGAATTTCTGTCCGACTTTCGCGAAAAAATGGACGAGTGGTTCCAAGGAGAGGGAGTTTATTATGATGAATTTCAAGCGGTACGTAGTCATTATTCTTGTCAATTTTTGTTTTTGTTATAAGCTTTTTAATTAATCTATGTACTAACCTTGTTGTTATTCTCTCGTAGGTTGGGGACGACGTGGATATATACAACCAACGGTACTATTTGGATTAAGGGCCTATTGATCCAACCGACTTGTACGACCAACCCAACCATCATTCAAGGGATATTTGGAACGATCACCCGGTACATACAATTCTTCATCATTTATCTTTCTTTTATTTTGCTAATGTACTTAGTGGAATATAAAATAAATTTGAAATAATTTAATCGTATTGGTTATTTTCAATAATTTAATCGAATACATAGCGTCATTTACTTCGACTCTTTATAAAAAAAGAGATGCACGTCTAAGGAAATGAGATTTTAAGCGATTATCATGATCCTCCCATTTCCTAGAAAAATCGGGTATTAAGAGATCCTCAGATCCCCCCTTTTTCTGTCAAAAAGGCTGCGTTTCTAAGAAGATGTATACCTCTTCTAAGAGTCTAACGAGTGTTGCATTGTATTCGATTAAATTATTTAGAACAACCAATACGTTTAAATTACTTACCAAACAACCAATACGATTTATGTTTATGTGTACTTAAATGAATTTTATTAATTTCAAATGTTTGAATATGTATGTATCTCTTTAAATTATTATTCATTTAGAATGTTATTTATGTCAATTAATTTAGTATGTATATATCTTGGAAAAAACCGCAAATTACTTAACTTTTATTGTTAATAATATAATTATAATAGAATTATGTTCCAAAATTAAATCATTAATTTTAATTAATTTAGTTATAAGACTAAACTGTTACTAATATATCATAAATAACGTTGAAATTTTTGCTAGGAGGCACAACAAATACTTCGCTACAAGGGTACGACCAATGTGCTCCCATGGAACCTAGTTATCTTGCCCTTTCTCAAAAGGGCACGGTTGGAGTCGATTAGGCATTTTGTAGGCATAAAAGTCGATCGCCAACTCATCACCGCATTGGTGGAGAGATGGATAAAGGAGACACATTGTTTCAACTTTCGCGAAGGAGAGTGCACCATCACACTCAAGGACGTCGCCATCCTAACTCATCTGCACATCGATGGCAAAGCGGTGAGTGTGAGTGATCATCCCTCCGAGGATCGTGACGGTATGACCGGTTGGCAGTATTTCATCCACAATGTTTTGGGGGGTGAAAGTACCAACCAAGGGGAGCGTTGATGCGACGGATCGCTTACCACCATTGAGGAAAGGCCAATTATCAATCACTTGGTTGACGAAGTATTTTAGGGACTTCACGATCCTGAAAAAAATGGTGAAGGAAAGATATGCTCGTGTCTATCTCATAGGCCTGATAGGAGGAGTTTTCTTCTCCAAAAAATTGAGCAATTTAATTAGCTCTGGATGGCTTAGGATCCTCCTTGGTAGTTGGGATGCGACGGGGGAGTTGAGCTAGGCATCCGCTTGCCTAGCTAATATCTACCACCATTTGTGCAATGCATCTCTCAAAGCTGTGAGGGAGGTCGGCGATTGCACCGCTCCAATGTCCCGACAGGAATTGGGGTCCCGATCATCCCCTAAGACTCGAAGCTTATGGTTGTAGGTAAATTTCGCATACCCCATCATGATTTTAATAACACAATTTTCCTTATGTTTTAGCTTATTTTAGCTTATTGTATTTTTACTATTGTCTTATTAATAAGGTGGGTTGGAGCCTCAACATGCGACAACCTTGCCCAACACAAGTTGGTAGAGTATCGGAGGAGGCTAGAGCGACTTTGGGAAGGAGAGGTAACTAGAATACTTCTAAGTGCTATAACTTTTTTTTCATGGAGTACATGTATTTTTCCAATCGGATTTAACCTAAGTTACTAATTTTTTTTTGTAGATCAAATTCAATCCATACCCGGTGAACATCGTTCGTTGGCATTTACAGCAATTCCCCGAGAATATCGGGCAACGGTGCACGAGGGCACCTCTCATTTGTTAGGGACTGTGGAATGGCACCGGCCGGATCGATGCCTTCGTCAGTTTGGTCGGGAGCAGTGCATTCCGTTGGAGGTCCCCGAGAGTCAAAGGGTGTTTCACCACCGAGATGGTCGGCAAGGTACTCACGATTGGCCCACGAAGTTGGCGGAAATGATCGCGATATGGGAGAACCGACAACTTCAGGATATTGTCAGTTCAACAAATGTGGGTCGAATGGGATATCATGACCCATACATGGATAGATATCGGCAAACATCGGTTCGGTACGTGACTCCGGAGGGTCAGGGACCGATGGTGCATTGGTAAGTATATTCCGTTTAATAAGATTAAATTTATTGCTTGTTTCATTCTGTGGTATCATTAGTCTTATCTTGCTAACCTTTTTATGTGATTTAGGCTGATGGGATCGAGCGGATCAAAGATTTGACCCATGGGAAACATGAAATGGGCAGTGAAGATGTGAGCTTCATCAAGAGGATGTCAAACAGTCTGCTTGGCTGTATCAGAGCACAGGGTCGTGATCATCGTAGATACCCACCCATGCCCGCACCGGTGCCACCTTCGGTACAAGTTGATTTCCCCCACCCCCACCACCATACGAGAGAAAGAAAAGCAAGAAGGTTTGGGAAAGACCTCATGTGCCTGAGATAAGGCCGTTGGA